AAAAAAGGTTAAAAATTTAAAAATTTAAAAGTTACGTAACGTTAGGTCGTTCCTTCGTAGGTACCGTTACGTCTGGGGGAAGGTAACGACACACACACACACACACACACACACACACAAATTTTAACTGGAGGATAAATCTTTTTGTCACAGTAAAAAAAATATTTTCAATGTACTTGAAAACAGGTAGGAAGCAGAAAAATTCAGAAGAGCTTAGAGTCTGTATGCTCCACGCCTGTCGTACAATGCTCCTTAACCTTAGCGGACACACAGATCACCTGGGAACTTGTTAAAAATGCAGATTCCCCGAAGGCAGGTGGGTGGGCACCAGTGTCTGCATTTCCAACAAGCTCCCAGGGGATTCCCACGCAGCCAGTCAGAGCACCACACTTGGATTAGCACACCTTTACAAGAAACCTTTCATTGTTAAGTTCCCTGGGTCAGATGAGCTGACAATAGGCTTTCCCTCTTTAACATCTCTCAGTGGCTGTGACTGACACACATAAAGTCTTCCCATGCCTTCTGGAGACCCAAGTGCCTGGTTAGCAATAGAACCTTCTATTTTGCTTCTAAAATTCTGAAAGACAAGTTTCAAAATGTCCTGTTGGAAGTGTTGCCTTATATAGGTGATTAGCCAGAGAAGTTCAGAACGTCTTCTCTCTCAGAACCAGCGTGAGCTCTAGGCATCATTTTCTTTCTACCCCCTTCCATCGACTGAAATGGATTGGCTCCTGTCACACCCAGCGTTAAGCAGATTTTTGCTACTCTTTGTGGCTTTTCCGCTTCGTTGCCATGGAGGGAGCACCTTGTCTTATAGGTATTTTACTTGTACCAGGTGGCACTTGTGTCCTTCCTGAGCCTGTGACCTGATATCCCGGGTTGTCAGCGCATCATAGCACCTGTTCCGAGCGGTGAAGTCGCCCGCCGTCAGCGGCTCTGCTCTCTCCAGAGCCTTTTCCTGAAATAACCTCTTGATGACCTGTGCTTTCACCTTTCTTAATCAAGGCAAGACCCTGAATAAAACCCTGCATTTCTGACAGATAGAGAAATTCTCCCGGCCCTTCCTTGTCCCTTCTTGATGTCCTCAGGTTTTTCCAAAGTGAGTATTTTAAGATGATCACTCCTCAGAAAGGTACCAGAATTTGACTAGTTACATAAGCTGAGAACCCAGGAAAATGAGTGTTAAGGACAGATTTGGCAAATTCAAGACAAAGCATATTTTTAAAATTAGTCACATCTGGCTTTGGCATATATACTGAAATTTTTGCTACAAAGGCAGTCACTTCTATATATTTAAAAATAACTGTTCATTTATATGATAGAAAAAACATTGTTATGGTATTCTTTATTTTGAAAAATAAAAGAAATGAAGTAGGAAATTTTAAACACTTATAATCCCACCACTCAAGGATAACCATTGTTAAAATGACTTACTCCCTAGGGTCTCAGGCTCTCTCCTCTGCCTGTGTCTGATGTTGTAGTAGGCACATTTTCCCACGTCTTTAAAAGCTTTTGTAAGCATCATTCTTAATGAAAGTATATGGTATTCCATATCATAATGACACCGAAATGTATTGGCTTTGCCTAAGGTCACAGAGGGCAGTGCTTTGGGGACAAGGACCGTCTTCTCCTCTCTGTGTCCCTAGTGCCTCATCTGTGCCTCTCTTGGGCTTGGCACCAGGAAGGGCTCAACTGCTGGTCGAGCTGGGGCTGGAGGGAGGAAGGGGAGGGATGGGCAGAGGGAGCAACAGCGTCCAAGTGCTCCGCTCCCCTGATTCCATGTGCTTTTCCCTAAAGGAAGCATTTCAGCAGCCAGCCTGCCAGGAAAAGCAGCAGGCAGGGAGAGGCAGCCGGGCACGCAGAAAGGCCACATCCTTGGCAGCCCTTTTGCGGCTGAAAGAAAGAGGTGGAAATAGGAAACCATCATGTTGTTGCAGACTCAGCACTAAGGTGAAGCATCTGATACCTCAACTCAATTTCTAATTAAGGAAGGGAGGCCAGGAGGAAAAGAAAACAAAAGAAAACATTATGGACAGAGTTTGAAGGTAAAAAAAAGAAATGAAATGGGTTCCACGTTTATTGTAGGTTGACCCAGAATGGACTTGTAACTGCTGCAGTGATCAGTGGAGAGACTATAGGAAATAGTTCTATTTTAATGTCTTTATTTTTGTTGTAGCATAATTCTGCTAATTCAGGAAGCCCCAAATTCTATAAATTAGAATGCTAGGGGATCAGTGAATCAAAATGCAAGGTACTTTCAGTTCCAGGCGGGTAGGATGAAAACAGGAAGCACTGGTGATTGTTTTTCTCCTCTCTGCTTTTCAAATGGTGTTGGTGGGAGCCCCCAGCACATGGGAGCAGATCTGGGAGTAACCAGTCAAGGACGGTTTTTCATGCTCAGGGGGATGACATAAATTTGACACCTCAACACATGTCTGATCATAAAAGAACCGAGATGTAGATTGATTATTCTACCCAAAAGGACGTGAGGAAGTTATAAAGCCGTGGTAGAGATTAGGAGGGGAAGTGAAGAGACAGAGGAAAGCATTTTCACTTTCTGAAGTATCTCATCAACCTTATACCTCCTTGTCAGTCACCTAAAATGTCAGCAGAAAAAAAGCAGTGACAAAGGCACAGGGAATGAAATCCCAGGGAAGAAGTGCTAGGAGACCACTCTGTCCTGAGGGGGAGCAGGGAAGCACTGGAGATTCCTTTGTACGAGTGTAACTGAACAAATACCTAAAGTTAGCATTCATGAGGTCAGTTTCTAATCAAGTGGTAGCTGCCCAGTGCCTGCGCCTAGTTTATAGAAGATGTTGGCACCCAGCTCGGGTTCGCAACCTTCCCCGCCTCCCATCCAGGTGGACAGCCCCGCCAGACCCTAGCTTGTCTTCCCTCAGCTCCCATCAGCAAACGCCCTTCCCTCTACTCCTCAGTCATACCGCAGACCCTGCTGGGCCCTGGAACTGCAGATTCTAATATCCGCAGTGTTAGACCAGACTCCTTTCCAACATACACTGTGGGGGGAAAATCAACCTTTCTGATCGATGCCTCATGAATTCTTTCTGGTTCTTCAGTTGGATCTCTCTCCCGTTCTCCACAGTGACTGGCTACTGCAGACTCCGTTTCACTCAAACTTCTGACCTCATCCTCCTCTTCACGAGGGACCATGCCACTGAGGTCTCTCCTCCCTGACCTCCAAAAGAAGAGAGCTGCGGATAAAAACTTCCTCCTTCCAAATCTGGAAACCTAACTGTGTACACACCCATCTTTCCCCCTTTCTTCCTCGTCAGTGAAAAGGCTGCCCTCCTCTGTTTAAGCCTGGTTCTCCCACCGTGCCAACCTCTCCTCATTCTCAATGACCCCGCCCTATTGGTCATCTCTTCTCTCATTGCTGCCTTCCACTCCCTTCTCTCCTGGAGCTCATTCCATCCGTTTAAACCTGCCCCACTTCCTCAAAAACAAAACAAAACAAGCCCCTGTTAATCCAACCTAACCCTCCAGTTCAAGCTCCCCTAGCTGCCAAACTATTTAGACAGTTGTCTGTTATCTCCATTTCCTCATCTCCCAGTTGCCCAGCACCCTGCAGACTGGCCTCCACTCCCCACTCTCACCCTTGTAAAACTCTCCCAATGTCACCAGTGACCTTTTCTGTTCTTACCTGGACTCTTGACAGCACAGGTGACCTCCATTCCTTCCTTTAAACACTGCGGTTCCTTTGGTTTCCAAGACACACCCTTTCCCAGCCTTCCTTCTACAAGTCACGCACCAGGTGCTATTCTGCACCCTGGGGTCCTCCAGCCCTGGCACTCAAGACCTTGCTGTGGTTGTGTGTGTATTAACGATCTTCTTCAGCTAGAAAGCAAATACTCAGGTCACATGTCTGTCTTGTCTGTAGTACAGCAGACACTTAATAAATATGTGCTGAACTGAGTGTTTTGTAACATTCCATTGAATTGAATTTTAAGTTAAAATCTATTTTAAGAGCGAGACTTAGAATTAGTTCATATTTAAGATTTGTCAGTCCTCTGGCAAAAACAAATTAAAAGAATTCAAGGATTTTTTTGAACACAGTTTTCTTATTGAACATTCTCAATGTGCCCTTATCCTGAGGGCAAAAAGAATTGCAAGTGAGTCTTGAACTTTAATCAGTACGCTGTTGGAAGTGGTACTGATAATTTTAAGCTATTTTGTGTATATCACAGGATAGAGAAAACAGGTAAATATTTTTATATTTGGTTGAAAACCAGGGTTCTCACATGAAGTCAGGGAGCCTCAAATACTAAGTGGGGAAAAGTAAAGAATATTCCTTTTAGATTTAAACTGGAGATCTAAGTATGAAAATATTAAATATTTTCCCCAGCTCTCTCCCCTAAAAGGACTTAAAAACAGTGATATTTCAGTATCAAATGTGCACATTTAGCATCTAGATCTTGGCCTATAAATACCATTCGCCTCTGTCTCAGCTCTGAGGTGGGAACAGTCTGGAATCTGGGTTTGCCAGAAAGTGAGAAAGCACTGAAAGATTGATGGAGGCATGTCAGCAGGACACAGCAGCCTGTCTGCAGGGGACTTTGCTGTGCAGAGCTGGTAACTTTGCGTATCAGAGGGAATGATGGCAACAGACTGTAACCTACTGGATTTTTGTAAACCTGTGAGTTCACAGTAACACTGAAAAAATAAAGGGGGCGGGAGGAGTAAGAGGTGGGGGGCAAGCGCTCCTTTACAGAAGGGCACCAACCAATAAACACAGGGAAATGGCAGAATTAGGAAACCCCTGTTGTGCACTTCCGGTGTAATTATTGATTCTGACAAGTACACTCCCAGAAAAAATCCAGATTATGTGACATTCTACAAAACAACTAGCCTGCATTTTTTAAGTATCAATGAAAAGACCAAAAAGGAAAAAACGAAAGGGCTGCTTTAATTACGCAGAATAAAGAGACATGACAACCAAGTGCAGTTCTTAATTCTTGATTAAATCCTAGACCTAAAAATAAAAAACACAGCTCCGGGACAGTAAGGAAAACTCAAACATGGCCTGTGTATTAGAAAATATTATATCAATGTTAGTTCAATTCCTTGGGTGTAATAATGATATTTTAGTTATATAGTAGAATGCCTTTGCTCTTAAGAAATACACATTGAAAAAAGAATATGAAACTGAATATATGTATATATGTATGACTGAATCACTATGCTATACACTAGCAATTAACACAACATTGTAAACTGACTATACTTCAATAAAAAAGAGTACAAAAAAAGAAAGTCCAGAACCAAAAAAAAAAAAAAACGAAAGAAAGAAAGAAAAATACACATTGAACTATGTAGGGGTGAGTATTATATGTTGCTTCCAAATTATTCAGCAATAGTAGCAAAATCAACAACAATAAATAAAAAGTAATGAAGAGAAAAAGCAAATGTAGCAAAATATTAACAATTGGTGGAACTAACTGAAGGGTATTTAGGTATTTATTGCCCCGTTTTAAAACTTCGTACAAAGCTACAGTAATTAGACATTGTGGTACTGGTATAAAGAAAGATAAATACATCAGTGAGATAGATTTGAGAGATAATTGAGAGATTTGAGAGTCCAGGATTGAACATTGCATTCAGCTGTTGTGTCCTCTTAGTCTCCTGCAAACTTGGAACATTTCTTTAATTTTACCTTGTTTTCCATGACCTGAACAGTTTGGGCAAATACTAGTCAGTTGTTTTGTCTTAAGGTTTCAATTTGGAAATGTCTGATGTTTTCTCACAATTCAATTGAGGTTGTGTGACGCTGTGTCCTCCTCAGGGCACGGTATCAAGGAGTCCATGATGCTGTTGTGTCTTATTAGTGGCAATGTTAACCTTGATCACTTGATTAAAGTGATGTCTGCCAAGTTTCTCTACTGATTTCTTCCTTGTAGTTGAAATATCTTGGGGGAGTACTTTGGGACTATGCTAATATACCCTGTTTCTCCTTAAACCTTCAAACCACTAATTTTAACATCCATCCATGAATCTTGCCTGCAAGTTATTGTAGTGTTTGCATAATGATTTTGCATTTCTATCATTTTTCCTATAATTATTAGTAGGAATTTATTAATTGAATCTTCTGTAAGGAAGAGCTGTTCCTCCTTCTTTGTTTGTATTTTTATTTATATCAACATGGGTTCATGAACACTTATTTTATTCTATGATCTTTTCCAGCACCATCATTATTTATTTTGGTGCTCAAATTTTCCAGCTTTGGCCATTTTGATCTCCTTCGGGCAGGCTCTTGTGTTTTTTAAAGACTTTTTTTTTTTAAGAGCAGCTTTAGGTTCTCAGCAGAATTGAAGGGAAGGTAAAGAAATTTCCCGTATACGTCCTCCCACACACACAGTAGTCTCCATTGGCAACATTCCCCACCAGAAGGGTCCATTTGTTACAACTGATGAATCTACATTGCTTGTGTTAGCATGTCACCATCCCTTTTTCAAGTACTCCCTTGTCTTCTGGAACCACAAGACATTCCTGAGTTATTTTCAATTTCCCTGCCCCAAACCTTGAATTAACTTCTTCTCCAAGGAACTCTGATTCCTTTTATTGAAGAATGTTATCTAGAAACCAAAATCTGAATGCTAAGTGTGCTTATTGTTACCAGTGTGCCATTGCTCGTAGGCTCACTCAACAGAGAAAGGTAGGGAATATATATATGTGTGTTAACCCAGGCACATACACACACACACACACACACACACACACACACACACACACACCTTTTTACTTCGTTATCTGTCTATATACCGATATCTCTAGTGCCATATGAACAGCACAAGGTTCCTCTTAGTCCTTCCCATTTCTTTGTTTGTAACTTCTTTCTCTGACAGAGAGAAATCTGGTTCTGATTATCTACAATATACCCATCACTTCTTTGATTTTTTTCTCTAGAAGTTACACAGTTGCTAACCCACACCACTGTCAGAAACATACTTGCTAATTAAAGTTTTTGCAGACATTTTTTCCCCTTAGCCTTGTAGCATGCAGCCAGAACACTCATTTGTTTTACTCTTTTCATCCTCACCTCCTTGAAAGCTTGAAAGCTTGAAAGCGAAATTACCTTCCTATCCACCTTTTCTGGTATAATGCATTTTTTATTTGGTAAAACATTTTTCCTATTTTCTTTTCTACCATTTAGAGCTATTATTGTGACAGCATCTGGATGCTAATTGCATGTGGTTGTTAATTGAGCTGGTTTTATATGAAAAGAAAACTAGATAAACAAAACTAAGTCAACATAATTCATAAAAGTCTCTTCATTTAACTTGTTTATTTATTTTTTATTTTAATTTTTTTCCCACACAGTTGGGGCTGGTGGATATGGCTGATAATTGGATGCTAAGTAGATATCCTCCAGCCTTTGGAGGACCATATCTACCCCCTAATGTAATATATCGAACTGCAAATCAGTCTTCTGGCTCCTTCTCCTGCATCGAGGGCCATGGGCTGAGTCACAAGGCTCTCCTCTCAGAGGCTGAGTGTCTGGGGGAAGCGGTGTTGTGCACCCCTGTTTGGGGGCAGTGCCTTTTCCAGCTTTATTGAGCTATAATTAACATATTGTGTAAGTTTAAGGTGTATGATGTGGTGATTCAATGCATGTACATATTGTGAAGTGTTTACCACAGTAAGGTCAGTCAACACATCCTTCACCTCACATAATTCCTGTCTTGTCTTGTCATTTTAAAGGAGGATTTGGTATTTTAATTATCCAACAACAGCATCATGAGCCTAGAACTAACTATTTCAGACGTTTGTATGTAGAAGTAATTTTATTATAGACAGAGATAATGATACTAAAGTTTCACAGCTCCTAACATTTTGAGAATATAGTTACCTTGAGTAATTCAGTTCATTCTATTAACATGGACATAATCGACACTCACTGAGGGCATCTCATTCCCTAGATACTGTGCAACATTGTCACCGAATAAAAATGAGTAAAGTAATATATACATGTTCCTAAGTGACTGAAGTATTATGCTGTACACCAGAAATTGACAGAACATCATAAACTGACTATATAATTCAATAAAAACATTTTTTAAAAAATGAGTAAAATGGCTAGCTAAAAAACTCACAGTCTAGCAGTGGTATCTTTGGACATAACATTTTATTTTCCTTTTTTCTTGTATGTGTTTTGCTGCTAAATTTGGGATAAGACTTACATGATTACATCAGTTTGGCCAAAAGCTGTAGCCCAAAACATCATTTTTCCCGAGTGGCCTATAGCAGCTGTTAGCAGAGCACTTCACATACAAATAGAACTTAATCAGACAGAGGCCTCATATATTCAACTGCTTCTACTCAGTGTATCAGATCATTCCCGGTTGTCCTTTGTACAAGGTGTGGGAGGTGTGGTGGTGTGTTCTAAAGAAAAGGAAATCTGACATTTTTCTCCTCAAAATTGTGGTGGGGAATGTGAAAAAACAAAACTATCTGCTCTGTGAATCTCTGCATAGGGTTAGTAGCCACTGCATCAGTTGACACTGAACTTAAGTTAATCTCATAGATATGTACGTGAAAAAGATAAATTCTTTTTTCTTCTCGGCAGGTGTCCTTGTAGACTTGGGTCTGGAGGAAAATGGGACAGCCTATCAGAGAGCAGAGAAATATGTTGTTCGTCTAGACAATGAGATTCAAACCAAGTTTGAAGTTTTTATGAGAAGGGTGAAGCAGAACCCGTACACGCTGTTTGTGCTAGTTCATGACAACTCCCATGTGGAACTAACGAGGTGATTGCTTCAGAGTGAGCAGATATGATATTTCTTCTACAGCAGTAACGGTTATGTAATAAATCATTTAAAAGGTGGTGGTTTGAAAGCCCAGGGACCCTACCATTTGGCGTCTTCTCACTGATAACTTATTCCTACCCTTTCCTTGCTCTCTCAGCTTTTCTTACTGCTTTAATGTTAATTTTATTTTAACTAGACTGTGAGGGAATTTACAAATTCCTGTTAAAAAATCCGGTCTTTTAAAAATTTTTTAATTTAAAATTTTTTCTTTAATTCTTTTTTTCTTTTTTGGTAGGGGGAGGTAATTAGGTTTATTTATTTTCATTTTTTAAATGGAAGCATTGGGGATTGAACCCGGGACCTCGTACATGCTAAGCACACGCTCTACCACTGAGATATATCCTCCCCAAAAAATCTGGTCTTAAGAGCATCATGGAACTCAGCTGTTTCCGGAAAAGGGTGGTGACAAGGAGATGGCAGTTGGTGAGCTCCCAGAAGGACCATGTGCTTTCCCGCCCACCACCGTCCCTCCTCCCCAGCTCTTGTCCTTTTTCCTTTCCCTTGTCCTCTCTTCCTTCCTCTCCTGCTGTTTCTCCTCTTCCTTGCCTTTCTCTCTTCCCTCTTATCTTTAACAGCCATAGAGATGCCAGTTCAATGATCTGAGGCCAGATCTGAAACCTTTTGCAATTTACCAGTTTCAACAAGAAACTATTCTCTCTCTCAATGGGCTTATTACTGAGAGAACAGTATGTGTGTTGTGACAGAGCCAGATAGTTATCTGGTAGGGGTATCTTTGTTCCTATAGATTGAAAAAGGCAAATAATTTTTTTTAAGGGCAAGTAGTTGTCAAATATTACATATCATGGTTTGCCCTCACCATGTAGGGACAGGGAAATTTCAGGCATCATCTAGCATTTATAGATTTTTCTTTCCTCAGGACACTCCGAGGTTAGGCATCTGGAATTTTTTTGATCTGTGGTAGAAATGTCAGAATTGCAAAAGCACTTGTTCAGAAGCCAAATGTATTTGGTACTCCATGGTCTGAAGTCTAGAGTCACATGTAGGTGTAAATAAGATCTTGTATAACTTGTTAAATTTGCAAGGAAGGAAAGAAAAGATGGAGGGAGGGTGGGAGGGAGGAAAGATAAGAGAAATTTTGCCCACATCCTGTTCAGTTACTGCTAGTGTTCTATGAGCAGAAAAAGCTCATTGATCTTATATACCTCATCTTTGAAAGTTTGGGGTAATAGCTCTGAGGATTATGCATTGCATCTCTTTGTATTTAATTCTGATGGGCATTGAGATTACTTCTTTGACCAAAAAAAATGTGTGTGTGTGTGGTTTTAAGGCTTCATATCAACCTGGTACATCCACATTGCACAGAATTGAAAATGATTCAGAGACATGAAAATGTTGGTCATGGTGAGGGGGCAGGAAGAGCCCTCCCCATGGTCTAGCAGCCTCAAGGAAGGAAGGAGAGGGTCCTAACACAGCGAGGATTCCTCATAGCTTTGGGGCCTCTCTGGAGGTACAGATCATCCCACAATTCTGAGCATCATATTTTGATGGTGAGCTCCCTCATTCAGGTGAGCTTTCAAACCAGAGTGATCCACCTCAACTACAGAGTTAGGTGTCTGCCTTGGCTTGGAGCTTATACTTTGAGATGTATCAGGAACAAACTGAAAAAGGGAAAAACATATATCTGTGAAATCTGTCTGAAGAGGGTACGAAGGTGTGTGATTTTTGCTCTTCCACATCAAACGTTGGTTGCTTCTACTTCTGCTCCCAATTAAAAAGAACTAGAAAAATAAGAGCTCAAATATTACCTCCATTTTGATGTCTAATTGTGCATCTGATCAGTTAAATTAGGAGGTTTTAATGTGACTTTCCATATTTCTACAGTGTCATTTCGGGCTCTTTGTCACATGGTGAACCCAGCCATGGATTGGCTGACAGGGTCATTAACTGCAGAGAGGTTCTGGAAGCTTTCAACCTCCTGGTGCTCCAGGTCACCTCCTGCCCATACACTCTGCAGACCCAACAGTCCCGAATCAGCGCCAGCAACGAGGTTCACTGGATACAGCTGGACAGCACGGTCAGTCTCTGTTCTGATATAGTCATGTTCTCAGTTCCCTGGGGAGCAGAATATTGTAATAAAATATGATCATGGCGTTGTGAAATACAGCACAAAGTTTCAAAAATCTAACTAACATAATGCTTTATCTTCTGAAAGTTCCATAGAATTATAATTATTATAAGACTAAAAACTAGTGAATAGTAACCTCTACAAATCTGACTGGGTGTTACTTTCTATTTTTTTACTGAAGTATAGTTGATTTACAATATTGTGTTACTTTTAGGAACACAGCAAAATGACTCAGTTACACATATATTTTTTCAGATTATTTTCCACTATAGTTTATTACAAGACATTGAATATAGTTCCCTGTGCTTTACAGTAGGACTTTGTTGTTTATCTGTTTTATTATGGTAGTTTGTATCTGCTAAGCCCAAACTCCTACTTTATCCCTCTCCCTCTTTCCCTTTTGGTAACTGTAAGTTTGTTTTCTGTGACTATGAGTCTGTTTCTTTTTTGTATCTAGATTCATTTGTATCATTTTTTTAGATTCCACATATAAGTGATATCATATAATATTTGTCTTTCTCTGACTTACTTCACTTAATATGATGACCTCTAGGTCCATCCATGGTGCTCCAAATGGCAATGTTTCATTCTGAGTAATATTCTAGTGTATGGGGGGTTCTTTTTTAGGTTATCATGCAGACACAAAATTATCCATCCTGTATAGTTGTCCCCTCAAAATTTGGTGTCATCTGACACCGTCATCAATATCCTGGATTATTTTTGTGCCTTTAAATGATTAATTTCCAATGAAATGTTATTGTCCCCTTGCTTTAGTCTTACTGATC